ATATATATATATATATATATATATATATATATATATATATATATATATATATATATATATATATATATATATATATATATATATATATATACCTATATGTTCACGCTGTACCGTGGTACACCGTCAATGCGCATGCGCTATTAATTATACGACAATAACAAAATCGGATTAGTTATTTAGCGCGACGGTCACGCAATATATACCCAGTCAACAGCTAAGCGTTTGTCTGTCTAACAACACAAATAAATATGGATTAACGTATTTTAGATTATTCTTAGTGCAAAATAGTTGGTATATACACTATTAAGTACATTATTGACTTGCTCTCCGACGGATATTAAATGCGCGAAAGTCGTCGCATATGATTTTTAATCGCATTCTATACAAGCTATCGAAGCATAGCGTTGCACGAGGGTGTTATATTACCTTGTCGACCCGCTTCTTGAAGCATAATACATTCTAGTGGACCATATTTACTGCGGAAAGAGGAAGTCCTGCATAAAACTCACTTTTTAATGCGCAATGCCTTGTTTATTGAATTTGAAAGATACAGACAATCCTGGACAAAACATCTGCGACACTTCCAACTACTTGACAAAATGTCGTAATATTATCGTAAATTTGGTAAACCTCCCCCTTTCCCCCACCATTCAATGTTGACCGCATTCGCAGGATACGGATAAAACGTCCAACATTGTTTTGGGGTGGTGGGGAGGGGGGGGGGGGCAAACGAGTAAATTATTCCGGTCTAACCGGTAAAATAGCCACCAAGCAATGTTTTAATAGAGTGTCGCAGATGGTTTTGTCCAGGATTGAAGTTTCACCGTTGTCCTCAATAATATATAACCTTATGTTTCTGGATGCAAACGCGTGTCTACCAGATTCACCTTGCCACGCGAATGCAACATGTAATAACACAGAAGGATCTTACATCTGCACATGTGATTCTGGATACAGTGGTAATGGATTTACATGCAATGGTAAAACATTAATGCGCAACATTAATATCCGAGAACCAATAACCACAAGAAACATCCATAAATAATGCATAACTTTATGTTTCTTTATTATTTAGATACAAACGAATGTCTACCAGATTCGCCTTGCCATGCGAATGCAACATGTAACAACACACAAGGATCGTACTTCTGTACATGTGATTCTGGCTACAGTGGTGATGGATTTACATGCAATGGTAAGTTATATACAGCAGAAATATAGGAGGGGAAATGACCACAACAAACATCTCCAAATAATGGATAATTTATGTTTCTGTATTACTTAGATACAAACGAATGTCTACCAGATTCACCTTGCCATGCGAATGCAACATGTAATAACACCGAAGGATCTTACCTCTGCACGTGTGATTCTGGATACAGTGGTGATGGATTTGCATGCAATGGTAAAACATTAATGCACAATATGAATATATGAGTATAAGCGACCACAAAAAACTTCTCTAAAACTTTATATTTCTGTATTAGGCTACTTAAATATAACAAACGAATGTCTACCAGTTTCACCTTCACCAAAACAAGCGACGACCACAAAAACCATCTCTAGATAATGCATAACTTTATATTTATGTAATACATAGATACAAACGAATGTTTATCAGATTCACCTTGTCATGCCAATGCAACATGTAATAACACAGAAGAATCTTACTTCTGCACATGTGACTCTGGATACAGTGGTGATGGATTTACATGCGATGGTAAAACATCAATGCACAATATGAATATACGAGAATAAGCAACCGCAGAAAAACATCTCTAAAACGTTATACGTTTGTATTCCGTAGATACAAACGAATGTCTACCAGTTTCACCTTGCCATGCGAATGCAACATGTAATAACACAGAAGGATCTTACTTCTGCACATGTGACCCTGGGTACAGTGGTGACGGATTTACATGCACTGGTAAGTAATGCACAACACAAATATTGGAGCAGCAACGACAACAAAAACAATCTATAGATAATGCATGACTTTATACTTATGTATTACATAGATACAAACGAATGTGTACCAGATTCACCTTGCCATGCGAATGCAACGTGTAATAACACTGAAGGATCTTATATCTGCACATGTGGCTCTGGATACAGTGGTGATGGATTTACATGCGATGGTATGTTATGCACAATGTGAATATTGAAGTTTTATTTGGGGCAACGAAATCGCCACAAGCTTCTCTAAATAACGGATAACATTTTATTTATGTAATATTTAGATACAAACGAATGTCTACCTGTTTCACCTTGCCATGCCAATGCAACATGTAATAACACCGAAGGATCTTACATCTGTACCTGTGCGTCTGGATACAGTGGTGATGGATTTGCATGCAATGGTAAAATATTAATGCACAATATGAATATATGAGTATAAGCGACCACAAAGAACTTCTCTAAAACTTTAAATTTCTGTATTAGGCTACTTAGATATAACAAACGAATGTCTACCAGTTTCACCTTCACCAAAACAAGCGACGACCACAAAAACCATCTCTAGATAATGCATAACTTTATATTTATGTAATACATAGATACAAACGAATGTCTACCAGTTTCACCTTGCCATGCGAATGCAACATGTAATAACACAGAAGGATCTTACTTCTGCACATGTGACTCTGGATACAGTGGTGATGGATTTACATGCACTGGTAAGTAATGCACAACACAAATATTGAAGTAGCAACGACAACAAAAACAATCTATAGATAATGCATGACTTTATATTTATGTAATACATAGATACAAACGAATGTTTATCAGGTTCACCTTGTCATGCGAATGCAACATGTAATAACACAGAAGGATCTTACTTCTGCACATGTGACTCTGGGTACAGCGGTGACGGATTTACATGCACTGGTAAGTAATGCACAACACAAATATTGGAGTAGCAACGACAACAAAAACAATCTATAGATAATGCATGACTTTATATTTATGTAATACATAGATACAAACGAATGTTTATCAGGTTCACCTTGTCATGCGAATGCAACATGTAATAACACAGAAGGATCTTACTTCTGCACATGTGACTCTGGATACAGTGGTGATGGATTTACATGCGATGGTAAAACATTAATGCACAATATGAATATACGAGAATAATCAACCGCACAAAAACATCTCTAAAACGTTATACGTTTGTATTCCGTAGATACAAACGAATGTCTACCAGGTTCACCTTGCCATGCGAATGCAATATGTAATAACACAGAAGGATCTTACTTCTGCACATGTGACTCTGGATACAGTGGTGACGGATTTACATGCACTGGTAAGTAATGCACAACACAAATATTGGAGTAGCAACGACAACAAAAACAATCTATAGATAATGCATGACTTTATATTTATGTAATACATAGATACAAACGAATGTTTATCAGGTTCACCTTGTCATGCGAATGCAACATGTAATAACACAGAAGGATCTTACTTCTGCACATGTGACTCTGGATACAGTGGTGATGGATTTACATGCGATGGTAAAACATTAATGCACAATATGAATATACGAGAATAATCAACCGCACAAAAACATCTCTAAAACGTTATACGTTTGTATTCCGTAGATACAAACGAATGTCTACCAGGTTCACCTTGCCATGCGAATGCAATATGTAATAACACAGAAGGATCTTACTTCTGCACATGTGACTCTGGATACAGTGGTGACGGATTTACATGCACTGGTAAGTAATGCACAACACAAATATTGGAGTAGCAACGACAACAAAAACAATCTATAGATAATGCATGACTTTATACTTATGCAATACATAGATACAAACGAATGTGTACCAGATTCACCTTGCCATGCGAATGCAACGTGTAATAACACTGAAGGATCTTACATCTGCACATGTGGCTCTGGATACAGTGGTGATGGATTTACATGCGATGGTATGTTATGCACAATGTGAATATTGAAGCTTGGGGCAACGAAACCGCCACAAACTTCTCTAAACAATGGATAACATTTTATTTATGTAATATTTAGATACAAACGAATGTCTACCTGTTTCACCTTGCCATGCGAATGCAACATGTAATAACACAGAAGGATCTTACATCTGTACCTGTGACTCTGGATACAGTGGTGATGGATTTACATGCGATGGTAAAACATTAAGGCACAATATGAATATGTGAGAATAAGCGACCACAAAAAACATTTCTAAAACTTTATATTTCTGTATTACTTAAATATAACAAACGAATGTCTGCCAGTTTCACCTTGCCATGCAAATGCATCATGTATTAACACAGAAGAATCTTATATCTGCACATGTGAGTATGGATACAGTGGTGATGGATTTTCGTGCAGTGGTAAAAATTAATACGCAACATGAATATAAGACGAGTAACGATCCACAAAAACCATCTCCAAGTAATGCATAACTTAATATTTTTTTTGTTACTTAGATACAAACGAATGTCTACCAGTTTCACCTTGTGATACGTATGCAGCATGTAACAACACAGAAGGATCTTACATCTGTACATGTGATCCTGGCTACAGTGGTGATGGACTTGCATGCAATGGTATGTATTACACAACATGAATAATGGAGTAGCGGCGCCACAAAACGTCCATCCCTAAATCATTCTTAACTCAATGTTTATGTTTTACTTAGACACAAACGAATGTCTACGAGTTTCACATTGCCAATAACTTTCATCATTTGAATAGTTTAAAAACGTATTTGGAATAGGGTTAACATAATGTTTAAGTTCCCTGTTTAAGAAATAGAAAACATTCGAATCTTCTCATTTCATGGGAACGACCTGAGACTGCAATCACGGCTTCAATTTTTGAAGTGCAGAATAATTAAATGCACTATCTAGTGTACATATGATATCTATGGTTTGAGGTTATTGAAGCTCACGTGCCTGATTCACCTGATGCCAAATGTTTTTCTGCAGATACACATCTATATCTATCGTTCAAGCCAAATAACTCTACTGGTCGAGCTGAAGCTGTGATTTAATCAGTGATTTAAAACTAAGTAGTCAGTTGTAAATTACCTTCTAGCAGTGAGATTTGCAATAGTATATATAAGCTAAATATCCATTTAATAAAGTTTTCATTATCAGTACTATTATTATTATTATTATTATTATTATTAGTGTTATTATTATTATTATTATTATTATTATTATTATTGGCATTCAATTTTTTATGGTCATCGGTTCATTCAAAACTTCCTAAGAACATATTTGACTTCAGTCTGCGTTACATCAACAATTCTTTGCTTACCAGGAAAAACCAGTTAAATGGGGTCTGTCATCATCTGCTGACTGTTCGTTCTGCTTCCGCCCTGAATCGCTTTTGCACGTAATCTCTGGATGTAAGACATATCTTAACGAAGGGAGATATACATGGCGACATGATTCAGTTATGAATCTCATTGCATCCAGGCTTCTCGACGTCGGAAGGTCCAAAATGTATGTTGATGTGCCTGGATTTATTAGCCCATCTGTCATCACTGGTGACGAGTTACGACCAGACTTTCTATTGACAATTGAAATTAAGATTTTGTACATTCTTGAATTAACTGTTGGATTCGAAACAAACCTGAAAACTAACTCAGATCGAAAACATGAAAAATATTTGACTCTAATTACCGATCAAGAAAATATATATGATGAAGTTAAGTTTGTTAATGTAAAGCTCTTTAGGTGTATTTGGTGAATCGACGAATACTTTATTTGATATGCTCCATGATCTGAAGTACGACGAACAATGTTCGAGGAAACAAAGATTGGAATAACCCGGAACTTTTAAACTTTTAACTAAATTTAAAAGATTTTCACCCGTATATATATTTTTGCTTTATATTCAATTCAAGTGGACATCGATAAGCTACCTTTTATTAAGTGAGGTTTATCAATGTATATATAGTATATCGTAAATATCTAATAAAAAGTTTCCATTATTATTATTATTATTATTATCATTATTATTATTATTATTATTATTATTATCGAGCAGAGCGTTCAAACGCGTTCTGTACATGTCTACAGTTTTATCGCTGGTTTCTTACTTGAATCACATCTATATTTGTTTAAAATTAAACACAACAGTTTCTAATCATGATTCGCTCAAGTTTTATTGCTATGTTGCTCATTTGCATCGTGTGTTCATTCTGTGGCAAAGATTTTGTAACGCTTGGGCGACACTCATGGCGGTGTAAACAACGTATCAATCATGATCAAAGCCGCTCTGGAAACACAGAAAGAGAAATGCCTGCTTTGAGTAATCCTAACATACATATTACACAACGAACTGTAATTAAATGTTGCTGCGGCAAAGTTTGTAAAGGCAATCGGGGTTTAAAAATGCACCAGCGTAGCTGTCAAGTCTTACATGGGCTAAACAACGAGTTGTGCGCAGATCTTGAGGAGCAAATTGCAGATAACCCTGAGAATATCATAACGGACGACCACCCACCCACAACACAGTCAACTTTAGACAGTGAAGAAATTACTCCTGATCTAAAGAAAGGCATAAATCTTCCGAAGAAGGACTCTGAATGGGAAACGGCCAACGATTATTTTAAATTTGCAATCCCTTTTAATGGACCAATCATATCGCAAGATTTCAATTCAAGTATAAGACATTTAAATGATACTATATATAATTACTTTATTGATAATTTTGGAAATGTTGAGACGGCCACCGACGAGAAACTCGTAGCAAAGTATAAAGATCATTCTATAAAGGATCTAAAGAAGGCTTTAAGCAATTTAAAGTCCACAAATTCGGAGGTAGCCGAAATAAAATATGTGTCTCGTATTCTGCGCAATAAACTTCGTAACCATGGTGGCATTCAGACAAACTCCAACCGAGACAACTCGTTTAATCACGACAAATACATGGAAAGAAATTTTTGGGGTTATGTTAAAAACGTTTTAAATAAGGAAGATGCTGTGTTCCCATCCTTCAGCATGACAGAATGTGCGGCTTATTTTACTAAAACTTTAGCTGCAGTTCACCCTGGCAAACTGTTTCATATTCCAAGCTGGATTCCTAGGTTATCTGATCCGCAAGTGGAATTTGACCTTGACCCGCCTCCATACCAACAAGTTACTGCTGTTATCCGTAAAATGAAAGCATCTGGTTCTCCTTGTCCTCTCGATCAAATATCAGTCATATGCTTTAAGCGATGTCCTTACCTAAGAACTTATTTAACTGAACTAATACGCGCTGTCTGGCTTTCAGGATCTATCCCGAGTGAACAGTGGCGTAGCCAGACCTTCATTTTTTTTTTTTGGGGGGGGGGGCGAAGCGAACGCCGAAGGCGCGAAACAGGGCCGTCCGAAAAAAATTTTCCCGGAACAATTTATTTTTCGCGACCTCCCCCCCAAAAAAATTTCGGTCAGTGTACCATTTTAGGGGTCCAAAATTTTTTCCGGACATCCCAATGTCATTGTGATCAGAAATATCGCATTTAAATCATTCTAGGTTCTATGAGACAGCATTTCCGCATTCTCAAAATTGCGTTGCTTTTTCATACGATACAGAATAAGCCTTACAAGAATATTCATGCGATGATAATGCATACACGTAAATCTAAACTAAATCTTGGAACCATATCTAAAACTGCTTTAATTAACGAGATTTTACAAATCAAGTTCCTCCAGTATATCCTCGTTTTCCTCAGTCGCGCGACGTACTTAATCAGTTTCAGCTTCGGGAATGTAACGTGTACCCCCCCCCACATTTCTCTACGGATTTAGCCTTTTTCAGAGAATGGGTTTTTTTGCGATTGGGGGGGCCGTCGCCCCCCCTTGGCTACGCCCCTGCGAGTGAATGGAAAAGAGCTTGCACTATACTTATTCATAAGAAAGGCAACACGGCTTAAAGTATTTACATCATGTCTGCGTAACGCAATGTACTCCTTTCTCACCGCCAATAACTTTATAGAACATAACATACAAAAAGGCTTCACCCCAAATCTGTCTGGTACTATGGAACATACTGCGCAAATGGCTAATATAATAAACAAAGCTCGTATAAAACAACGTTCACTTGTCATCACACTACTTGACCTCAAAAACCCTTTTGGAGAAGTTCATCACAACTTAATCCAATCTGTCCTTGGCTATCATCACATCCCTAATCACATGAATAATTTAATAAAAAGCTTATACACTGATTTTAAAACTTCCGTAATTACGTCTCAGTTCCGTACCCATTTTATACCTGTTGGCCGTGGTGTATTGCTTAGTCCTCTACTATTTAATATGTGTTTCAACACATATATTCAGCATATCAAAGCTGAAAAGTATCGTCAGTTCGGTTTCTCCCTCCAACTTCTTAATCCAATCCACTGGTTTCAGTTTGCCGATGATGCTGCGGTTATTACCAGTCAAGAGTCGGAAAATCAACATCTCCTTAATCGATTCTCTATCTGGTGTCAATGGTCCAACATGGTTGTTAGAGTTGATAAATGTAGCACATTTGGCATCAAAAAAGTTTTATCAAAATCTGCCCAGTACCTGCCGAAGCTTTTGATAAATAAGGATCTCATACCAACGATTAAGACTGGAGAATCATTTGAGTATTTGGGACGACATTTCGACTTTAACATGACTAATGAAAAACATAAATCTGAAGTGATTTCCCTCATTGATGAACTAATGTCCGAAATAGATCTTAAACCTCTTCACCCAAAAAACAAAATTTTACTTTACAGTCGTTATATTTTGTCGAAGCTATCCTGGCATTTTACTGTTGCTACGATATCTAAAACTTGGGTAGTCGAAAATATCGATTTTTCGGTGAACAAGTACATCCAAAAATGGCTGGAAGTACCTATATCTGGAACACTAAGTAACGTTTTTCTAACCCGTAATAAGTTTGGTCTAAATATCCTCCCTGCATCAGTCAAATTCATTCAGTGTCAAACAATTCTACGCAATGCCCTGAAAACATCTCCAAACTATTCAATAAACGAACTGTGGAAGTCAACTAATAATCATACTAACATTCAATACGATAGCTACAACTCAACTAAAGAAGTTTTAAAAACTTTCCATTCTCAACAAGAAAATAAACTTAGGAACCGTTTGAAATGTCAAGGTTCCTTTTTCGAAAATGTTTCTAAATTCTCGCTATCACAACTTAACGCAATCTGGTCGATATCGCAATCAAAGCTACCAAAGAACATTTTTAACTTTACAATTCGCTATATAAATAATACCCTGCCTACCCGAAAGAACCTCAGTAGATGGGGAATTTCATCAAGTTCTGACTGCTCGTTCTGCTTACACCCTGAATCACTTCTACACGTTGTTGCCGGTTGTCAACATTACTTGGAACGATTTACTTGGAGACACAATTGCATACTAAACTTTCTTGCAAAAACTTTTCAAAATTTAAACGAATGCAAATTACATGTTGATCTTCCTGGATTTGAAAGCCCCTCGATTATTACGGGAGATGAATATCGTCCTGATTTACTTGTCTCCACTTCAGACAAACACCTCTACGTCGTTGAACTTACCGTAGGCTTTGAATCAAACCTCACAAACAATGTTAACCGCAAGAAAGCTAAATATAAAAACCTAATTAGAGAACTGGATCAAAACTTTACATCTGTTAAATTTATAAATCTTTCTGTCAGTTCGCTAGGGGTGTTTGACAAAGAATGTCATACATTCGTAAAAATGCTAAATGAGTTAGGACTGGATAATCAACACCAACAATATTGTATCAGAAAAATTATATCTATTGCCATCCGATCAACGTACTACATATTTTGCTGTAGAAATAAAGAATGGACAAATCCCGAACTAATGGACATTTAAAGTAACTATTTCTGTAAATAAGTAGCAATTTTTGTATATAAAATTATAACCATGCATGTATAAGTGATTCAAGTAGTCAATTGTAGGTTACCTCAAGAAGTGAGATTTACAATTGTATATATCTATAAATGTCCTATTAATAAAGTTTTCATTATTATTATTATTATTATTATTATTATTATTAGTATTATTAGCCTTAAAAACCTCTCCAAATGATTGTATAAGAAATTTATGGAAATCAACTTGCGACAATATTAACATACAGTACGACGTCTACACCTCAACAAAGGAAGTTTTTAAAAGTTTCAAAATCTGCACAAGAGGACAAGCTTCAAAATCATCTGCTTCTCCAAGGCTCCTTTTTCTCTAACACCACCAAGTTCTCGTTGTCCACACTAAACAACCTATGGTGCAAATCTCAATCCAGTTCGCCAAAAAGCATCTATATATAACTTCATCTTCCGTTACATCAACAACACTCTTCCCACACCCAAAAACCTCACAAAATGGGGAATAATGTCAAACTCGGATTGTTCCCTCTGCCTGAACCCTGAAACCCTTCTAGAAGCATGTGGTCGCGGGATGCCAGTCATACTTCCACGATTTACTTGGAGACATGACTCCATTCTCAATTTTATCTCAAAAATATTCCAACCTGACCACAACTCCACTCTATTTGTTGACCTTCCTGGATACAAGAGCCCGTCAATAATAACCGGTGACACTTATCACCCAAATCTGCTTCTTTTGATTTCAAACGATTGTCTATACATACTCGAACTCTCTGTCGGATATGAATCCAATCTCCAAAACAACGGCGATCGCAAAAGGGAAAGATACAAGGATCTAATTACGCAGCAGAAAGACCATTTCAAAACTGTCAAATTTATTAATATGTCTATTAGTGACTTAGGTGTTTTCTCAAAAGAATGTAACACGTTTATGAAAATGTTGAACGAAGTTGGTCTTGATAAAAAAACATCAGAACTTTTGTGTTAAGAAAATAATGTCCATCGCCATCAGAACAACGTACTATATATTTTGTTGTAGAAACAAAGATTGGACCCATCAGGACTTCATGAACATTTAAGAATGAGCTTTCTCTTAGTTTTATATCTGTAATATAGTTTATTAATAATTAATAGTTCAAGTAGTCAATTATAAATTAACTTAATTAGTGAGATTTATAATTGTATATACATAAAATGTCAAATAAAGTTCCCATTATTATTATTATTATTATTTTTATTATTATTGTTATTGTTATTATTATTATTTCAATCATTACATCTGATTTTAATACCCCATTTGTAGAAGTAGGTCGTGGAGTTTTGCAGGGAGATTGCCTCAGTCCATTACTATTTAACCTATGCTTTAATACTTTTATCCAGCACATAAAATCGGAGAAATATCAACCGTTTGTTTTTTCTTTTAAACTTCTCAACCCAATTCATTGGTTCCAGTTCGCTGACGACGCAGCCGTAATAATTGGCCAAGAATCTGAAAATCAAGACCTACTAAACCGTTTTGCAATTTGGTGTCAACGGTTGATTATTCGAGTGATTATTCATGATTATTCGAGTAGATAAATGTAGCACCTTTGGCATCAAAAAAGCTCTCACCAAATCAGTCCAGTACCTCCCTAAATTAATCATTAACAAGTCTATTATTCCGGCTATTGAAAGTGAAAAATCATTCTGCTATTTAGGAAGGTACTTTAATTACGAAATGACAAATAATGAACATAAATCGGAATTAGTATCACTATTGACAGACCTAATGAAAGAAATAGATAGATCTGAAGCCATTACATCCGAAAAACAAGATTCTCCTCTACAGTCGCTACGTTCTTTCAAAACTCTCATGGCATTTCACCATAGCATCAAGTAAAAAAACGTGGATTTCCGAAAACCTGGACTCAGTTTTCAAACAATACATTCGTAAATGGCTTGAGGTACCTATTTCTGGATCACTTACTAACATTTACCTAACCAGTAACAAATTTGGTCTGAACATTATCCCCCCATCAACTAAATTCATACAATGTCAAACAACCATCCGCAGTGCTTGGAAGTCATCTCCTAATGAATCAATAATCCACCTCTGGAAGTCGACCTGTACTCATACTAACACCCAATATGATCTGTACACGTCGACAAAAGAAGTAATCAATTCATTCCGTGAAATTCATGTAGATAAATTGGAAAATTGATTAAAATGTCAAGGTTCATTCTTCTCCAGCATCTCAAAATTTGTACTACCCCAAGTAAATTCAATTTGGCCAACCTGTCAATCCAAACTACCAAAAAACATTTTCAACTTCACTATTCGCTACATAAACAATTTGCTACAAACTCGAAAAAACCTTCAAAAATGGGGACTCTCTTCGTCCTCTGAGTGCTCGTTTTGCCTTAAACCTGAATCTCTGTTACACGTTGTTGCTGGCTGTAGTCCCTATCTTGATCGATTTACTTGGAGACACGACTCAATCCTAAATTTTATTGCTAATAACCTCCCATAAGAATATATTCAGACCATTTATGCTGACTTGCCATCATTCCCTAATCCCTCTGTTATTACTGGCGATGACTTTCGTCCTGATCTACTAATTTTGACCAAAGACAATTGTCTATATGTACTCGAACTAACCGTTGGATATGAGACTAACCTAAGGAATAATATACAGCGCAAATACTCAAAATATAAAGAGATGATCGTAGAACAAAAGAAAAAAATCCGGCCGGTAAAGTTCATTAATCTCTCAATCAGTGCACTCGGTGTTTTTGAAAAAGAATTGTCAGATTTTATACAAATGTTGGAACATTTGAACTCAGATAAGGCCTGTGTTAAATATACCATTAGGAAAATCATTAAATTAACATTGCAATAAGAACGACATATTACGTTTTCTGTTGTAGAAACACGAATTGGTCGAATCCAGATTTAATGAACTTCTAGTTAGTCTGTTACTTTTTGTATCATATAATTATGACCATGTGTTATGTAAATGTAGTAATGTATAGTGTATCAAGCAGCCAATTGTAAATTACCTTTAACAGTGAGATTTTCAATTGTAAGTGCATAAAAAATTCAATAAAGTTTTCATTATTATTATTATTATTATTATTATTATTATTATTATTATTATTATTATTATTATTATTATTATTATTATTATTATTATTATTATTATTATTATTATTATTATTATTATGAACTATATTTCAACACGGTACAATTTCACGTATACTAAAATTAATTACGTACAAGATATAAAAAGAAAAAAGGTGATCTTCCAACCTGCCGTGCTCACACAAACAGAAATAAGAAATAATTACAAGAAAATTATTTTAGGTAGATGGAAACAATGGCAGGATCACTTGATGTTAATTTGCATGCTTCAAGTTAGACTTAAAATTAGCAATAGTTGTTGATGCTTTTACCGATGCAGGAAGGCAGTTCCAGACTTCCGCACCTCTGTAGGAGAATGCATTTTTTCATACTATTTGTTTTTGGTTTAGGCAATGTCAAATCGGCTCCTGACTGTCTTGTGTTATGGTTGTGTACATCACCCACATTTGTGAACATATCACACAAGTAATAATTACCTACACTGATAGCAGGATCGGCAGTCGCTTGACTAAGCCTTTTCTTGGAACCAATTATCATATATATTCGGTTTTACTATTGTTCAGAGTTAATTTGTTTGCGGACAGCCAATTTGCAACATTGTTTAAATCTCTATTTAATGTTTCAGTGATAACTTTGATATTGTCACTTGATAATGCAATTTGGGTATCATCCGCCAACATATCTGGTTTTGTCCCGGCGTTTAAACATTTTGGTAAATCATTGATGTAAATTAGAAATAACAATGGGCCTAAACCAGAACCCTGAGGTTTGCCTGTTTTCATAATTGATGGACTTGATAGTTTGCCATTCACACAACAGCACTGGGTCCTATTTGATAGATACGACTCCAGCCAGCGATGTGCCGTTCCCTTTATTCCATAAGTTGCTATTTTGTCTAAGAGTATATTGTGGTCGACAGTATCGAATGCTTTTTTCAGATCCAGAAATACAATCCCATTTAGTTTCCCAATGTCAATATTTGTATACCACTCGTTGGTTATGTCCAGTAATGCTGTAACAGTTGAGTGAAGTGGTCTAAATCCGTGTTGGGAGTTTGAAAGTAGATTATAGTTATGTAAATAATTATAGATTTGGTTATAAATCAGCTTTTCTGCAATTTTGGCAACTACTGATATAACGGATATTGGTCTGTAGTTTGTCATTTCATCTTTAGCTTCAGACTTAAAGATCGGAGTAATTCTAGCGATTTTCCAATCATTGGGAAATATGCCTGTTAAGATTGACTGGTTGAATATTGATGTTAGGGATGGTGAAATAACTGCTGCCGAAAGTTTTAAGATACGAGAGGAGATACCATCGATTCCCGATGCTTTATTGGGCCCTAAACCATGAAGTAGAGTCAAAACATCATTTTCTGAAATTTCTTGAAAGCTAGGGAGCCCATTAGCTGGATGGTGTACATCACTGAGAAAACTATCCGGTAAAATATTCGATTGAGGAATTTTATTCGCAAGTTTTTCCCCTAGTTCAACAAAGTATTTATTAAAGGCATTAGGGATCAGCGTTTCGTCAATTACTTCACCATTCTCATCTTTCATTTCTGGGATTTTATTATTAGTTGACTTTCTATTCATCAATTCGTTGAGTGTTTTCCATGTTTGTTTTAAATTTCCTGAATTGCTATGTAGTTTGCCTCGATAATAGGAGCACTTTGTATCTTTTATTTGCCTATTGTATTGGTTTTTTGCCTTTCTGTAGACAGACCAGGCATCAGTTGTGTTGGTTGTTCTAGCTTTCCTATGTAGGAAATTAATATGTCGTTTATTGTGAATTAGGTCTGTTGTTAGCCAAGGTAGCCGCTTAGTGCCGACTTTCCGTCTTTTTACTGGGGCATGGTTGTTCCAGATTCTGAAGAATTTATTCTTCCAAATCTGCCAAGATATATTTGGATCGTATTGATCCAGGTCAAAATCGGATAAGTAATTTTGTAGGTCGCGCAAGAATATTTGTTCGTTGAAATGTTTGTAGTCGCGGTATTCGATTATTTTTGCCTTTTCTTTGCAGACCTTAAATTTTCTGATGCCATAAATAAGATAGTGATCACTAATGGAAACAGTTGACACTCCCTTTGAAATAATATTGTCAGGACTTGTTGCATAAAAGTGATCAATTAATGTCCGAGTATCTTTAGTAACTCTTGTAGGTTCACTTATCAATTGTTCATATTGATGCAGTCCTGTAATAAATTTGAGTTCTGAAGCTTGGGGAGATAGAATTGTGGATAAGAAGTCATAATTTACATCTCCTAGGATAATACTTTCTTTATTGTCATTGTCTATTAGTTGTAAACAGTTCTCAAATCTATAAAGGGTGTCAATTGGATCGTTTGGTGGTCGATACCACGTTGTAATTAAGAATGGTTTAACGTTATGTTTACTAATTTGTATTGTAAGAATTTCAATATCATGATTATTCAGGTCAGTTCGAGGTCGAAAATTTATTGAATCTCTAACGAAAAAACTGATACCACCGGTTTTGAATTAAAGATGGTTAAAGTTGGCAAAAGGGGTACTTATTAGCACTAATTTGGTCATTTTCGCATTTTTTAGCATTAAAAACTCGAAATAGGACTGGAAAAACATAGAACTCACTTAATTGTCTTATATATAGTTTTTTACGAACTTTCTGGTAGTATAGTTTATTTTTCGTATAAGAGAACATGAGATTTTTTGCCATCATAGTACTTTAATATTATTTAGAGTAGGCAAAATTTTAAAACACTCAAATTTTCAGCTGTAACTAAAAAATCAGAATTGTTTACCAAGGCTTAAGCTATAAGAAAATGCCTGTTACCAGCTTCTAACATAAAGTTGCCATCAAACTGTACAAAATGAAGACTTGGCTACTTCGTTTAGACATAGAAGTGCTAAATCCAACAATGGCATTTTCATCTATATAGCAGGTCCTGAACCAAAGATATGAACATGCAAAGGTCGCAGGTCCCCGAAGACCTACAGAATTGAGCTGTGTCGATGAATGCGTTGGAACTACTCACCTCCTTGACGACGCCTTTATGTTCTTGTATGAAGCTGCCAATAAAAATAGAGAAGCGGTAGATAAAACGTAGGAATTCGAAGCTAGAGATATACTTTATATCAACTCACTATAAGAATTTCACAGTTCGTATACTCAACATCAGCCGAGCGAATAAAATTTAAGTTAATTGCCAATAGCGTGAGGCGGTTTCTACAAAAAAAAGAAAATCGAAAACGGACTGAAAAACCCCGAAAAAACCGAGTGAACCGGTTTTTTAAAAAAACGTTCGAAAATCAAAACTTCTGTAAAAAAGACACAACACGCTACTCAGTACTCACACAAGATATTAAACGTAAGGTATTTTGAAGATGTTATCCGCAAATTTCAAACAAACTCTCTTTAGTTTTTCGTGTGTAAATGGCTAAATGCCAAAATGTGATTCAATTGCATCAAACCCGTATAAGTATGGTTCGATTTCAGTAAAATACCGATTTTTCTACGTTTTCCCGTTTTCCTCCGGTTTTTTCGATTTTCCGGTTTTAATTTCTCCAAAAGTAACATCGATTATTTTTTATCAGTGAAAATGAAGCAATCTGATTGGCTGAAAAGCCTTTCAGAGCGGGCCGGTTTTTTGCATCCGGCCCACTCTGAAACGCAACTGCCCGCTGTGAAATGCAACTGCTCGCTCTCGTTTTCACGGCAAAAACTGAGGAGTGAAACAATTTTTAAACGCGAAAAAATCTGCCAAAAACGTTTGAAAAACATAGCCTAACGATAGTTGGAATACGAAAATGAATTACATCAAGCCCTAAAGGCTTCATACTAAGCACGATGTTCACGACAATTGACAATATTTTGATATAGAAATGGACTGAAAGTCGGAAAGTATTTGACATGTATAAAACTTACGTCGAGAAAACTATATATTTTTTGAATGCTCATGTATTCGGCCACTTACAGTGCGTCTACAGTAAGTGGGGCCACTTAGTAAGTGGGGGAAAATGCAATCGCGTCGACATGGAAGGACATGTTGAAAATCGCTCTGATAAAAACGACCTAAATGCAGAAAGCCAGACGTTCTTGAACTTCAAGAAGTCCTTATTCGTGACAACAAGAGGCTCGATTAAATGGGTTGGCAATTTAGCTTCGCTAAAAGAATTTGTGGACGACCTTCTCAGCACAGAATCGAAATGGCAATCTCGGGGCGGATATAAACAATGTGAAAGTCCTTCCCTCGTAATTCGCTGGTAGACGACTAATAAATCTCTCACTTTTAATGGGTCTAAGAGTGAGGATCTAAAGATCAAAATATGTGCAATGATTGAAGAAAATGCCGAAGAACCTGCATGAGAGTGATGAGAGCGAAGTTCAGGTCAGTGACAGTGTCGAAGATACGTTTCCAACTGAGAACAATATGGCGGTAGAAGAAAGCACCGACAATCATTCAAACCTTACTTTACTAAACAGCGCTTCTATACTCTGCATGACTGAACATGATAACAACGTGACCGAAAAGCTAAAAATGGTGGAATGCCAAATGAATCAGAAGATTGAAGCACTGGCTTACGAAATACAGAAGCTGAAGGACAATAAAGACGCGACTACATTACATGCCGAATATGTCCACACGGAAAATGCTATACTAAAGAAAGAAAACGAAGCACTGAGGGAACGTGTACAGAACTTGGGATATATTATGTCTGATCTAAACACAAGGTCAAAGATCTAGAAAATGAGAGAATGAGCCTCATTACAGTGATAAACATTTTACGACACGAACATGGTCGAGACGACAAATGATGCGAAGGTGAACAATGTGATAAATTTCAGAAAAAAACCCAAGAAAAAGCTAATGTAGATTATAATCGTCGATGATGATGAAAATTCTCAACACACAATAGATATGAAATCTTAAGTGACCATCAAGAAGACAATGAAACTACATCTACAAGCCATGACACAAATGAAAGTGCAAAAACAAAAAGCCGAAAGTCACAAGGGGGTAAGGATAAGAGCCGAAACAAGAAAAGAAACAAAGCAAGCACTTCTACAGTTATTATCGGGGACTCAATGATCAAACATTTAGATTCCCGAAGGCTGCAGAGATCAATAAAGGGTGAAGAGAGCAAAGTTTTTGCTGAAACCTACAGAGGTGCAAAAATATCAGCCATAAAGCACCATATTAAACCATGCTTAGATAAAAAGCCTACAGAAGCTATTCTGCATGTTGGCACGAATGATCTACCAGAGAAACATCCGAGTAAAATAGTTGATGGCATTGCTGAAATCTGCGATATAATACAGACTGACAGCCCCTCAACGGAAATTGTAATCTCTGAAGTCATACTCAGGACGGATAGGGCAGAATACAAGCAGAAAATAGGTGAGACCAATACCTTGCTTGCAAGCTTTTGCGAAAGCCGTAATTTATATATTATTAAGCATAACAATATTGGAGAACCGCATATTAATCCATATGGCGTCCATTTAAACAGAGCTGGGACGTCCGTTTTAGCTAGAAATATTCTAGACTATCTTAACATGCATGGCAAAAGTAATTGATGTGTAGCAGAGAATAGCCCGACTGACGATTTTGAACCAGACCAAATTTCACTAAATCATTCAAAACACGATAATTCAAATAATGTTGAGGTGAGACCAAATTCCAGCACTCGAAGTGATAATAAAAATATCAAACAAATGAGAGGATTCAAGATTGCTCACCTGAATATCAGAAGTTTAATAAAAAATATGGATCAACTTAAGCTGTACTTACATTCCCAAAAATATGATATTATTACCTTGAATGAAAGTATGCTAGACAATACTGTAGCAGACCATGAAATAGATATAAATGGGTATGATATTATACGAGAGGACAGAAATAGGCATGGTGGGGGAGTAGCAATGTATGTAAGAAGTTCAATAGACTATAAAGTTAGGTATGATTTAATGACGGACAATCTAGAGACGATCACAGTTGAAATTTGTAAACCAAAGGCAAAACCTTTCCTAATAAACACATGGTATAGACCACCAAATACATCTCTCTTGAACTCTTCAATAGCTACGAAGAACTTGTGAAAAACATGGATTCAGAGGGTAACGAAATAATACTTATTGGTGATTTTAACTGTGATTGGTCTCTGGAGAAGGATAAATTGAACTCGCAAACAAATAAATTAGTTGATCTTGCAAATCTATTTCAACTCGAACAGTTCATTAAGCAACCCATGCGAATAACACAAACGACCAGGACCCATTATTGATTTAGCTTTTAGCAATAGACCGGAAATAGTAATTGCATCAGAAGTTGAGCATTTAGGAATTACTGATCATAGCTTAATTTATATATGCCGGAAAATTTCAATTCCTCGTAAGGAGCCAAAACTCATAAGTACACGGCAATTCAAAAATTATAGCAAAGATGCATTTTGTTATGACCTACATAAGATATTTCAAACGCAATCAAGCCAATCTCCTGATCCTAATTCACTATGGCAGGAATGGAAAACAAAGTTTCTATTAATTTCTGATATGCATGTGCCTCAAAATATTAAGAGACCTATCTACCACAGGGATTTTCTTAAGAAAAAAGCGGTCAAAACTGGATCTTCCAATTTACATGATGCTTATACAAAAGAGCTCGAAATGATTTAAATAGATTGATTGAAAAGACTAAAACCGAATGTTTTACGAGCATAATTAATAATACTGCTAAAAATCCAAAAGAAATGTGGAAGACAATTAATAAAATT